AAGTGCATACAAACGTGCCCAAGAGTGAGGGAGACAGAGACATTCACACATACGTGCATTCGTACGGACAAACGGATGCACGCGCGGACGGATAGATCGGGAGAGAAAGAGATAAACATCCATACCAAGTGGGCAACTTACTGACAAGCAGACAGGCTTACAGGAATAACTATAGACGTACAGGCGGTACGACCAACGGACTGGCAGCAATAAGAAGACAAATAGACTGTGGAAAAGATGAAAAGCAACAAGACGAATTCGTCATGAGTACAGGCGTCGTTCTTCAAGGGTCACCATCCAGAACTTGGGGAGATTCTGGGGCAAATAGATGATCCGGTGGTCGATTTGGTATGGCATATGGGTGATGGCCCTTTACAGCGCTGACACTTGGCCGAAAGGGGAGGGATTGGGCAGACGACCAGCGGGATAAGACTGACCGATATCTGGATTGAGGCCAAGGACTTGGGGAAATACAAATAGGCTGAATAGGGGAAACTGTGTGGGCTTTTTTGGGGCTGTGGTGGACGCTTGGCTGGAATAGAATGAGGGAGAGAGTAGAAAAATTCTGTTTGCCGGCAATCAACTATCAACTCTCTGTGCAGTTTTTCAATTTCAACCCTTCTCTGCACCACCCTTCACCCGAAACTCTGCCCCTGTCCACTTGTACACTCATGTAGCAAGTCGGAAAAGCGAGTCAGTGTCAAGAGAACAGGAAAACTGAAAAATCACCATCATGTCAGCCTGGCGCCAGGCTAATACACCCGGAGGCTCCAGTCCCCTACCTCCAGGCCCCGAATCTCCACCTTCATCTGCCCTCATGGTCTCCTCGCATGTAGGTTGCCCAGGCCTGTGGCGGAGTTTGTCGTCCATGGCATATTCACGAATACGATGGCGTACGCCCGCTCATCTCCGGTGTAGGATCATAAAAAAAGAACGCAATTACATACCTATCAACAAATGCACCAGCTGCCCCTCCCAAATAGACTCAATGAGCTCTCGTCTCAGCCTAAAACGGTGGGCCAGGCAGCATAGGTTTGCCAAAAGTGGGGTGACAACAAATGGGGGCTTCAACTTGTCAGCATACCATCCGTTTTAAGATGGTCATGGCGTGGCGTTGGGGGATAAAGCTGATGGCATACAGCACGGGAAAGAGGCCAAAAGTGGGCCCTTTGAAGCACTGGCGCCCAGCTGGTTCTTCACAAATCACAGTCCAGTCACGTCAGTCTTGGCCTCTCGCACAACTCAACTGCGACCTCTCTCCCGGCCAAGTTCCAGATCAAAAATGGGATCCAGACTCATGTCCATGATGGTGCAGAGAAGCGGACTCCGAGTGGGACAAGAAAGAACGTCGGCTCCATGAGACGGAAAAAATACAGGTGGTCTGGTTGGACAGATGCAACCAAGCTTTTAAGTACTGATAGCCCCGCATCACGGCTGAAACCCTGACCCATTTGGCAGACCATAAAGACAAACAAAAGACAGACGGGATTGTAAAAGTACTCTTGTCTGGGGATAAAAGCGTTTTGGAAAATGATAGTTAATCTGCACATGAAGCATCAAGAAGAAGAAGAAGTTCTGTTGGCTTTGGCTGAAATATGGATTATCGGGTAGGGCAGACTTAAAATTAGTCTAGGCATCTGCTGCAACAGGACTCGACCCCAAAACATGAAGGCGTAGAGTGGGAAACAACATCATCTGGACAATATGCCCCTAGAGCCCTCTGAGTTGTATCACTTTTGTCAATCGCCTGAGCATTCACTATTCGTGAAATGCATAAATTTAAGGCAATGCAAGAGGTATTTGTATAAAACAAATCACACAACTATAATTAAATCATGAATAAGTGTTCCATTCACTCTAGGCTGCTTGAGGTGATGAAATACTGATGGTTGGATTTCCCAATAATGATATAAG